CTCACATGGGACATACTTAGTGCAAGAAAGATTGGGAAAGGCAGCATGAGCATGGGAGCACTTTAGCAAAGGGGGGGGGAAACGAGATAGGAATTTGTGGAGAGCCATGTTCATCAATGTCCTGAAGGGACACAACACGAAGAAGAAGTCATGTGAATTTGCAATTTAGTTGGTAATCTAGCTAGAGACGAGTTCTTGATGAAAACACTCATTCCTCAGCAGCCTGGCCTCTTAAGGGGAGGTGATGCTGGCTGGCTGCTTGTATCTAAGTATGCCTGTCTACTAGGGTGGCTAACCAATCCCTGTTGTAGACACCTGCTCAGGCATATTTATGTTAGTTCAACACCCACAGAATCCACCAGTAGTTTATATTGCAACTATGCTGAGCAGACTTTAGTTACAGTTTATGTGATAGGGCACATTATCTAACATGATGAACAGTTTGAACAATGCTAGTATGCTCGCCCTTTCAGTCATGATGACTTGTGACTTCATGCTAACACAACCATTGACAGCTCTCAAATAATTCTGTCTATCCAATTTAATTCACAAGGCTTGGGTCAACCTGTTGTATGGTTTTTAGACATTTTCCGAAAGTGCTGCATGCTGGGATTGCCACCCCAGGCTGATAACACCAAGAAGTGATTACACTGAGATTTGAACCTGAAGCTCATGAACAGAAAGTGAATGTTCTAACCACTTGGCTACATACATCCTTACAGTGTAGCATCAATCTGAAAAATGCACAATGACTAAAAATCTTAAAAAAGAAATACGTCATGTGAGTGTACAACAGATGAAAATAATGCAGCATTGATTTATTGCTTCAGGAAATTAGTTTAAAAAATATCCAAAGAGTGAAGTTTTTGTTTTGTTTTTTTTGAAAGGATTGGGTTTTGTAAAACTCAAGATGTTTTCATTTTTCTTTTTTTAATTTTTAACAAAATAAGAACAAAGATGAAAATTTCGGATCAACTTTTAGATCTGAATATTTTTTTTATTTTTTTTTAAACTGGAGCCATTTTTCAGACAGCAGTCTCCTTCACACTAACTTTCATAATGAGAGCAGTTAACACATGAAAACTATTATTAAAAAAAAAAACCAAAACATTTTTTTCGCTGCTACATACATTAATATTCTCAGCAGAAAAGTATCGTACCTGGAATATTTATGGCATCATTTGATTTTTTCCTGCCAAGTTGAATAATCTTAAAATATCAGGAAAAAAATTTTATTTTAAAAAAATATTTCTCAAATATGTACTTTGAAATTCTAGAAGATGCCTGCAACCGTTTCTTTTTTTTCTTTATTTATCACAGAAATATTTGCATTAGATTTCTTTGAAATACATCTCAAAGTCATCACGTTCCTTTGATTTTTGCTCAACATCTTTTATAGCCTACAAGAGGCAGATACCCTTAAGAAGTTAACGCATAAGAAAGAATTTTCTCAAAAAACCCCCTTCACCTTGCTTTCTTTTTTTTCCTTTTAAGAAAAGTAGATTGGATGTAAAATCTTCAACTGATATATAAGCATGAAAGAGTGACTGGTTGGTTTTTTTTACAGCTTATCAACCCTTTGTAGGTTATTTAAAGCCAAAAAATATTTTTAGCTTGGAAGTATTTTTTTTTTGAGATAATGATTTAGTGATATAAGACTTTACAATATTTATATTTAAACTATTGTCTGCATCTTCGTTGTTGTTATCACAATGTTTCAGCTGTTGTGCTCTCAGACCTTCCTCAGATGTATCTGAGTAAATGACAAGGAATTCTGAACTGAACTATACTATTCTCGTTCTACTGCTCATTATTCGTTCTTATTTAGTACTATTCAGTTATTGCTCACTCATTTCCACAGCTGCAAATACACATTGCCTGACCAAGAGATTGAACTCACAACCAATATGTCACCAAATTCACAAACCAATGCTTTTACTCACTAGGACACTTGCTCCATAGGACAATTTGCTGTAGTAAACTTAGGGTCTTAAAGTTAACCTAGCTGCTGATTAGGTTGCAACTGCTGTTGCCTCTGGGGTTGAAGACTTTCTGTCATTTGTCTTTCTTTCTTTATTAGTGGCTACCATATTTATTTCTATGCTAAGCCCACTTAGGAGGTCCTCATAGCTTAGCATATGCACTGATTCTTTCAGACATCTAACTCTCCAGTGTTCTTTGTTGTCCAGTATTTTCACTTCATTCCACAGGAGTGGATGACTACCCTTTTTCCCTCCATACATCAACCCCTGTGGAATGAAGTGAAAATACTGAACAGGGAGAAGAAGAGGTGGATTCATACCTTTCTCAAGAGTATTTATGCATAACTGGAATTGAAACAAATCCTTGATTAACAATTCTGAGCAATTATCCATTACACCACCCACATAGGCAAGCTTACAACATGTGGTATTTCCAAGTGGTCACCCATGTTGCTTAACTTTGGTGATCATACAGGAATTGGTATTTCAATGTGATGTGGCTAGAAGCCTAGCTTGAAAGATGTTTAAACCATTAATCTTAGCATACTCCCAAGAGGGTGCTTTCCTAATCACTACAATCATAACATCTTCAAGTTTAACTACTATGTATCCTATATATCCTCATAATATGCAACTCTTGTCTCCCCACCAATGTATACACTTACAACACCTTCATTTAGTTACCCTATACATTGTGTGCCTCTTAGACCTTGTAATGGGTGAACAATAAAAATGGGTGAACAACAGTTAAAAAAAAACATAATATATTAAGAACACTATACTAATTGTTGTTGAGATTATTGATTTCAAAGTTTCATTAGTTTTTGTTGATCTGTTCTCTGGTTTTCTTCAGGTACAGAAGTTGTTCTTTCAGATTCTGCTTCTCAATACCATTCTTCTATTTCAATGTGGCCATAAAAAACATTTAAAAAAAAAAACAAAAAAAAAACGCAATATATACACCTGAGGAAGGTTGGAGGGCACAATGGCTGAAACCTTGCGATAACAACAACAAAGATGCAGACAATAGTTTAAATATAAATAGTGTAAAGTCTTGTATTACTAAATCATTATCTCAAAAAAAAAAAAAATACTTACAAACTAAAAATATTTTCTGGCTTTAAATAACCTGCAAAGAGTTGATAAGCTGTAAAAAAAACAACCAGTCACTCTTTCATGCTTCATACACCACAAATTATTCCAGTACAGACTATATTGCTGAAGAAGGGATCACCTGAAACATTGTTGCAACAACAAACGTAACAACCGCAACAAAATAAACTAGATTAAAGGTATGTTTCAACCATTAATTTTGTTTACTGATATTCTAAAATGATTTATTTCCAGACTATAGAATTCAACACGTGGAGACACCATAGGTATTCACATAAACACCTGAAGTTGATTATAAATTCCAAAAACATGTGCATTTCTTTTATGTAAATATGTTAATAAAAACTTATTATATCTTGTGTTCTAGGTGGCATAAGGGTTACTGGTGCAGAAAATGGTTGGCCAGATTCAAGGCTGCTGCATTCAATTCACATTTTTAGTAAGTGATTCCTGCTAGGAAATATCAGAGTTCTGAATCAAATTTAATGTCCACTATGAACCTTGATCAAAGAAGATGTCAAATCTGTAAGTAGAAAGTGAATTTATTACCTGATTTTTTAAGATGTGTTAAGTTTTTCCTTTTATATATATATATATATATATATATATATATATATATATATAGTTTTAAGGTATGCGATATTTACAGGTAAAAGTGCTCAATGTCATGGATAGAGAATGTGTAATATAAGAGTGGACAATGAGGTCAACATACAATAGTAACAGTCTGTTTCATGCTCGAATACAATCTTCAGTCCATGTGTGTTAAGTATTAGCTCAATGGGACATTATAGTTAGCAAAGCCAGGTATTTCCAGTTTATTGTGTTTTCTTAATGGTTAGTGGATAGGTGGGAATGATTATATTTTAAATTATTCTAAAGTCCACTGAGTAGAACTAATTATAGGCCAGAACATATATTTTTTTCTTATATTTCAGACTATTTTTCTGTTTTTTGTTGAAAATATCTGAGCCTTTTCAGCTTTCATAAGTCATTATCAAATCATTTTTTATTTTGTGTTATATCAGTTTCATCTTTTGTCTAATGTGTTTTCACACATCACGGTTTTCTTTTTTCCAAAGTATCATGTTTTCATGCATCAGTTCATATTGTCATGTTTTCATTCATATATATATATATATATATATATATATATATATATTTGCTACCACCACTGAGATCAGTGCTTACATCCTAGGCTTTGCCATGCCACCCTCATACAAACTGTGACATTGACTTGGCACAAGGAGGAATAAAGAGATTTATGAGAATGAAAAAAATAAGTTTTTTATCCTTTGATGTGGGTGGCATAATGGTTATCTGGGTGAAAAATGGAATTGGTAGGCCAAGTTCAAGGTTGTTGAATTCAGTTCACACTAATACAATTAGGAAATGAAGAACTAGATCTTTCCTCCTACCAACTATAAGTAAAATAGTAAGGTAGGCTGGGTTCTTTAGTTTTAGTAGGGTAATCAGACAAGGACATAAGTTTACAAGAGTTTTTTGCACTTTTAATTATATTCTTTATGACACATGAAGTTTTGTTTGCCAAGTCAAATATATAATTTAATATATAAGTGAAAAGAAATTTTTCAAGGAAAACTTTAGTTAATAATTAAAGAATTGATTGAAACATTTGTTTTTTATGGATTATCAACTCTTTGCAGATTATTTAAAGCCAGAAAATATTTTTTGATTGTAAGAATTTTTTTTGAAATTATAATGATTTAGTGATACAAGTCCTATTAATTAACCCATAGCTGGGGGAGAAGAGTTGGATTCATACCTTTCCCAATGCTATTTGCGCATATATAAGTGATTATAATGAGCCTGATGGGAACTGAACTCTGCTCTTTGATTTCACAGTCTGAGCTGTTATCCATTATACAACAAGCACATTCAAGTTTACAGTACCTGGTATTCCCATGCAGTCACCCATCTAGGTACTGACCAGGCTCAATATTGCTTAACTTTGGTGATTGTACGAGAAAAGACAATAAGTTTTGGAAAAAATGATTGATTAATTGTACCAAAGTGTTGCAGTGATAATCTTTCCCAATGCTAAAATTCAGACTCTTATAAGTAAGATTCACAACTAAATGAAAATCCAATTCCTGACAGATGACATGAAATTTGTTGAACATTCAGGCTGGTAAATGTAATTAATACTGTTTAATTAAAAAACAAAGCATTTACTCAAATAAGTGTATTCAGAAAAAAGGTATAAACAGAATATATATCAAAATATTTGTTGGATTGAATTCATTTCATATTATATATATATATATATATATATATATATATATATATATATATATATATATATATATATATGTGTGTGTGTATGTATATATATATATATATATATATATATATATATATATATATATATCAGTTTTTGTGTGTTTGTGAATATATATACAGAGTGAATAAAAAATCCTTTTATAAACTTTGGGGGTGGGTTCTTTATGCCAAACCAAGGATAAAAGTCTATATAAATATACGTACGCAAATCCTTCATTTTTGAGTTATTCAGTTTAAAGATTATAGTAGATGCTATTGAATGTACAATCCAAGATACAATCCAAAAATACTTTTACAATCATCAGGGGTGAGTTCCTGATACCAAAGCAATATAAAATGTTCATATAAACATATGTCCAAAAAGCCATCATTGTAATACAACACATAAATATAAATAACCAATATTTACCTTTCCCTGAAACAATTAAATTATAAAAGTATCTATTTTCAGGATCAGACATAATTTTCTTATGTGTTGGTTGTCATGTCTTAACATAGGTAAGTTCTAACTTTTGTTGAGTATTATTGTTTTATTCATAAGGAGCTGTGAATATTTTGCCCACTCAGCTAAACTAAAAAAGCATAGAGTAATCAGTTCCATTAGAGGGGACCAACTACTAAGTAAATGCTTATGTACTTAAGTATAAACAACCAGTATTTACTTCTTTAACCCAGTAAATTCTTATATACTTAAGTATAAACAATCAATATTTACATCTTCTTTAACCAAGTAAATGCTTATATACTTAAGTATAAACAACCAATATTTACTTCTTTAACCAAGTAAATGCTTATATACATAAGTATAAACAACCAATATTTACTTCTTTAACCCAGTAAATGCTTATATACTTAAGTATAAACAACCAATATTTACATCTTCTTTAACCAAGTAAATGCTTATATACTTAAGTATAAACAATCAATATTTACCTCTCTTTTAACCAAGTAAATGCTTATAGACACATATTTTTTTTTTAGAAAAATATTGATTTTGTCATTAAATAAACCAACAAGTGTTGATATGTCATAGAATCCCCCAACTCAATCTTGTTTTATATTAATAAAAATGCTTAAATTACTGCCCTCACTCAAATGAGTTACCCCTTTTCCCCAAGGAACTGGAAATAAGCAACCTTCTCAAATAAACATTCTAAGGTGACTAAATCAATATATTTGAGAAATGAAAGGGCGGACTTATTTGGATCTGGGAGTTTAAAGAAGCTAATTTAATCAATATGCGCTTTTTTAAAAAAAAAATTTAAGTGCTGTAGGTTCTAAATTGAGCATTTACAGTATTGTAATTTTTATATTTCTGTCTGATGTACTGCCATATAGCCTTTATAGTCAGAGTTATAAATTAATATAAGAGATAGATTTGTGGTAGTATATCCTAAATAAGATGTTTCTTCTTTATTTTCAGAGACATAATCTCTTTGATTCAAATCAGCATTAAAATCCAACTATTTGCTATCGGTCCATTTTTCCCTGCCACTAGAATTTGTCATTGTGCTCTCTGTGTAATTAGCATATCAAAGGTTATATAAATAGTGATCAGATCAAGCACAAACAGTGGAATCAGTAGGCTGATATTAAATTAGAAAAGGTATCTTTTTTATCTAGCAATGGGCTCATGCTATTAAAGATATTTAAGCTGGGTAAATTGTACTCTTTAGTCTTGATGGAACAGTTCATCTAGAAGGATCTCTGAATTCAAACCTTTTGCCAGCATGACAAGGTGCTTTACTGCACATATCTGCCAGATGAGGAAGGTCTGCATACTGTCATAGGTTGACAATGCAACCAAAATCACATTCACTGATGACATGACATCTTTTTTGATATAAAAAACCTTCATATAAAGCGATAAATAAAATTTTAAAAAATCCAGAACATACCTTGTTCTCTTGATCAGATATTCAGCGTGATAATAATTTAGAAACTTACCTAAATAAAAAAGAAGAAATGAGAATTTTCATTAATTTACAAATAAGGAAACAAATTACTTTTCATGTTTTTTTTTTTAAAAAGATCAATGGTAAAGAGCTAAAAATATAACTGATGGCTGCTTTTCACTTCTGTTTTTAACCATATAGCTTTATATTGATTGACTGATTCATTTTTTTACAGTTTATCAACCCTTTGCAGGTTATTTAAAACCAAAAAATATTTTTAGATTGTATGATTTTTTTAACCCCCTAGTTGGTGGATTCATGCCTTTCCCAAGGGTGATTGCACGTAAGTGAATATAACAAACCCAACTGAAATTGGAACTAAGCTCTCCGATAAATAATTCTGAGCCTTATCCATTACCCCACCTGCACATCCAAGCTTATAGAATCTGGTATTCTAAAGCTATCATCCATTTAGGTACTGACGAGGCTGGACGTAGCTTAAACTTCAGTGATTATATTGGAACTGGTATTTCAATATGTTATAGTTGTAAGCCTTATCAAGCAGATTTACAGATTCCAAATACATCACTAGTTGATTGCATTTAAAAAACATCTTTCCTTCCTCATTCTAAGAGCCATTTCAACCATTTTTGTGCCATTGTTAGCAGAGGACTTCAAGTGATTCATTCCACACTATGGAAGTACTGTAGAGTAGCCAAAATATTAGATTAAAGAAGAAGAAGAAAAGTTTCAGTGTTCAAACAACACTCAAAATAATAATAACTCATCTCAAAGTTACAGATATCATCATTCATCTGGAGTGTGCAGGTAATGAGGGCTGGAGAATGGGTTGGCCAAAACATTATGGTAATACAAAAAAAAAATTATTTCAATGCTCAAACAACACTCAGAATGATAATGATTCACCAAAATTATAGATGATACAGCTGGTGAAGGCTGGAGAATAGGTTGGCCAAAACATTAAGATAATAATAAAAAGAATTATTTCAATGCTCAAACAACACTCAGAATGATAATGATTCACCAAAATTATAGATGATACAGCTGGTGAAGGCTGGAGAATGGATTGGCCAAAACTTTATAGTGACAAAATAATCTGTTCAATTGTCTGTGCCACTCTTAAAAAAATAAGGATTAATCTGAGATCCAAACATTAATTTGCAAAAGAAGCATTTTGAAAGCTAAGCAAGGTGCTGAGGAACAGAAAAAGTTTTGTTAGAATTTCAGTATTTAAGTATTTCAGCAGTAAAAGAGTGGGACCTATATGCCAACCTAGTAGCACACTTAACTTCATGCAGTTTGTACACCAGTGAAAATAGCTCATTAGAGCAGATACCCTGAAAATATTTATAGAAAAACAGAGAGAAACCACATTATGTCAGTGAGAAAGTGACTAGCGTCAAGACCTATCACATTGCATATCTATTCCGCCTTTGGATTTTGTCGAGAACCTCAAGATGAACAGCAGAAACACCAGACCATATATAGCAACAGTATTCCATGCATGGATGAATGATAGAATTGTAGATGTGAAGAATGAACTCAGATGAGTAAAACCAGCTGGTACAACACAGAGAACCAACTTTCCTTGTGGTAGGTGCAACTATTGATTCAATGTAGTTGTTCCACCTCAGGTCAGTGGAAAATGTGACAAGGCACAGTGAGGCACTCTTGTGGAGTTGAGCATCAACCATGCTGATAGAAGGTAGGGAAGTTTCTCTATGGTGAGTAAATGGCAGCAGTTTGGTTTTGGATGGATTAAAATTTGCAAGCCATTTCCTGCCCCAGTCAACCACAGATTGGAGGTCATTTTCAAGACCAACGGCCTAAACTTTTGTCTAAGCAGGCATGCGAAAAAGAATATTGTGGTTCATCATCCTTGTATGTATCACTTTGTATTTAATTCTTGTAAGTGTAAGTGTTCTCAAAGCAAACTTGTTGCAGATTACTTTCACGGCACAAAGAAAAATCACTAAGTACAGACTCGAGTATCGGGGGCAGAAAGAAATGCTGAAAACTCGATTTACCGATACTATCTTAAATCACAGTGCATGTAACCAGTCAGGAAAATAACTCATTCTCCAACAAACGCCGTAGCCAAAAATGCCTGAATTTTCCTTCCTCCGAATCGAGAACACCAACTGCTTTTATTGGCAGAACCTATTTTTTTCATTCGTCGACAGCTGGGATAGGATGCTCCGTAATTTGCATATCAATATCCTCTTATAGCGACTCCTGCGACGGACTTGTTTCTCTTTCCGTCACAGAATACACACGACGTGCTGTCGTTTGGGTTGACGAGGTAAGCCGCCGTTTTCTTCGCTATGAGATTTTTGCTGACTACTTTTTGGTAATCCTTCTTCGGCAGATCACACACAAAACACAAACTTTTTTCCGAGGTACCTGATTATCTCTTTCACTACAATTCTGTATTTATTTTACTTTCTCTCTGTCCCTCTCTCTTTTTCCTCATTACTAATATTTCCTTCCTTTTTATTTTGTTTTCTGAATTGAATTTATTTTACCTTCTTTCTCTTTGAAAACTTTGAATATTATGTCTTTGGCAATTTTTTGGGTTCATACAAGCATTGGACATTATTTTTTTTTACTCATTTTGGCTCACAGGCATGGAGTGATTTTCTTCTAGAAGTGAATATTGACACAAGTATTATCCCTTCTCCCCACAGGGAAGGTTTCATTGTCACTCCTGGCCTAAACTTTTGTCTAAGCAGGCATGCAAAAAAGAATATTGTCACCTGTCATCTTTGTA